GCAAGAACAAGGGCCTAGCGAGTGCAAAATAGCAAGAAGAAGGGCCTAGCGTGTGCAAAATAAAAAGAACAAGGGCCTAGCGTGTGCAAAATAAAAAGAACAAGGGCCTAGCGTGTGCAAAATTGCAAGAACAAAGGCCTAACGTGTGCAAAATTGCAAGAACAAGGGCATAGAGAGTGCAAAATAGCAAGAGTAAGGGCCTGGAGAGTGCAAAAAAATCAAGAACAAGGGCCTAGTGTTCGCGAAATAGCAAGAACAAGGGCCTAGCGTGTGCAAAAAAAAAAAGAACAAGGGCATAGCGTGTGCAAAATAGCAAGAACAAGAGCCTAGCGTGTGCAAAATAAAAAGAGCAAGGACCTAGCGTGTGCAAAAAAAAAAGAACAAGGGCCTAGTGTGTGCAAAATTGCAAGAACAAGGGCCTAGCGTGTGCAAAATTGCAAGAACAAGGGCCTAGCGAGTGCAAAATAGCAAGAACAAGGGCCTAGCGTGTGCAAAATAAAAAGAACAAGGGCCTAGCGTGTGCAAAATAAAAATAACAAGGGCCTAGCGTGTGCAAAATTGCAAGAACAAAGGCCTAACGTGTGCAAAATTGCAAGAACAAGGGCATAGAGAGTGCAAAATAGCAAGAGTAAGGGCCTGGAGTGTGCAAAAAATCAAGAACAAGGGCCTAGTGTTCGCGAAATAGCAAGAACAAGGGCCTAGCGTGTGCAAAAAAAAAAGAACAAGGGCATAGCGTGTGCAAAATAGCAAGAACAAGAGCCTAGCGTGTGCAAAATAAAAAGAACAAGGGCCTAGCGTGTGCAAAAAAAAAAAAGAACAAGGGCCTAGTGTGTGCAAAATTGCAAGAACAAGGGCCTAGCATGTGCAAAATTGCAAGAACAAGGGCCTAGCGAGTGCAGAATAGCAAGAACAAGGGCCTAGCGTGTGCAAAAAATCAAGAACAAGGGCCTAGCGTTCGCGAAATAGCAAGAACAAGGGCCTAGCGTGTGCACAAAAAAAAAGAACAAGGGTCTAACATGTGCAAAATTGCAAGAACAAGGGCCTAGCGTGTGCAAAATAGAAAGAACAAGGGCATAGCGTATGCAAAATAGCAAGAACAAGGGCCTAGCGTGTGCAAAATAAAAAGAACAAGGGCCTATCGTGTGCAAAATAAAAAGAACAAGGGCCTAGCGTGTGCAAAATTGCAAGAACAAAGGCCTAACGTGTGCAAAATTGCAAGAACAAGGGCATAGAGAGTGCAAAATAGCAAGAGTAAGGGCCTGGAGTGTGCAAAAAAATCAAGAACAAGGGCCTAGTGTTCACGAAATAGCAAGAACAAGGGCCTAGCGTGTGCAAAAAAAGAAAGAACAAGGGCATAGCGTGTGCAAAATAGCAAGAACAAGAGCCTAGCGTGTGCAAAATAAAAAGAACAAGGGCCTAGCGTGTGCAAAAAAAAAAAGAACAAGGGCCTAGTGTGTGCAAAATTGCAAGAACAAGGGCCTAGCGTGTGCAAAATTGCAAGAACAAGGGCCTAGCGAGTGCAAAATAGCAAGAACAAGGGCCTAGCGTGTGCAAAATAAAAAGAACAAGGGCCTAGCGTGTGCAAAAAAAAAAAAGAACAAGGGCCTAGTGTGTGCAAAATTGAAAGAACAAGGGCCTAGCGTGTGCAAAATTGCAAGAACAAGGGCCTAGCGAGTGCAAAATAGCAAGAACAAGGGCCTAGCGTGTGCAAAAAATCAAGAACAAGGGCCTAGCGTTCGCGAAATAGCAAGAACAAGGGCCTAGCGTGTGCACAAAAAAAAAGAACAAGGGTCTAACATGTGCAAAATTGCAAGAACAAGGGCCTAGCGTGTGCAAAATAGAAAGAACAAGGGCATAGCGTATGCAAAATAGCAAGAACAAGGGCCTAGCGTGTGCAAAATAAAAAGAACAAGGGCCTATCGTGTGCAAAATAAAAAGAACAAGGGCCTAGCGTGTGCAAAATTGCAAGAACAAAGGCCTAACGTGTGCAAAATTGCAAGAACAAGGGCATAGAGAGTGCAAAATAGCAAGAGTAAGGGCCTGGAGTGTGCAAAAAATCAAGAACAAGGGCCTAGTGTTCACGAAATAGCAAGAACAAGGGCCTAGCGTGTGCAAAAAAGAAAGAACAAGGGCATAGCGTGTGCAAAATAGCAAGAACAAGAGCCTAGCGTATGCAAAATAAAAAGAACAAGGGCCTAGCGTGTGCAAAAAAAAAAAGAACAAGGGCCTAGTGTGTGCAAAATTGCAAGAACAAGGGCCTAGCGTGTGCAAACTTGCAAGAACAAGGGCCTAGCGAGTGCAAAATAGCAAGAACAAGGGCCTAGCGTGTGCAAAATAAAAAGAACAAGGGCCTAGCGTGTGCAAAATAAAAAGAACAAGGGCCTAGCGTGTGCAAAATTGCAAGAACAAAGGCCTAACGTGTGCAAATTTGCAAGAACAAGGGCATAGAGAGTGCAAAATAGCAAGAGTAAGGGCCTGGAGTGTGCAAAAAATCAAGAACAAGGGCCTAGTGTTCGCGAAATAGCAAGAACAAGGGCCTAGCGTGTGCAAAAAAAAAGAGCAAGGGCATAGCGTGTGCAAAATAGCAAGAACAAGAGCCTAGCGGGTGCAAAATAAAAAGAACAAAGGCATAGCGTGTGCAAAATAGCAAGAACAAGGGCCTAGCGTGTGCAAAATAAAAAGAACAAGGGCATAGCTTGTGCAAAATAGCAAGAACAAGGGCCTAGCGTGTGCAAAATAAAAAGAACAAAGGCATAGCGTGTGCAAAATAGCAAGAACAAGGGCCTAGCGTGTGCAAAAAAAAAAAGAACAAGGGCCTTGCGTGTGCAAAATAGCAAGAACAAGGGCCTAGCGTGTGGAAAAAAAAAAAGAACAAGGGCCTAGCGTATGCAAAATAAAAAGAACAGGGCATAGCGTGTGCAAAATAGCAAGAACAAGGGCCTAGCGTGTGCAAAATAAAAAGAACAAGGGCCTAGCGTGTGCAAAATAGCAAGAAGAAAGGCCTAGCGTGTGCAGAATTGCAAGAACAAGGGCCTAGCGATTGCAAAATTGCAAGAGCAAGGGCCTAGCGTGTTCAAAAAATCAAGAACAAGGGCCTAGCGTTCGCGAAATAGCACGAACAAGGGCCTAGTATGTCCAAAATGGCAAGAACAAGGGCCTAGCGTGTGCAAAATAGCAAGAACAAGGGTCTAGCGTGTGCAAAATTGCAAGAACAAGGGCCTAGCATGTGCAAAATAGCAAGAACAAGGGTCTTGCGTGTGCAAAACTGCAAGAACAAGGGCCTAGCGTGTGCAAAATAAAAAGAACAAGGGCATAGCGTGTGCAAAATAGCAAGAACAAGGGCCTAGCGTGTGTCAGAGTATTATAGCTGATGCATGTTTGTAGGCTATAGTGGGGTAGCACATATGGGGTACAGCTTTCTAGGGTTGTATTTGTACCCAACTCTGACTTAGTCTTTTTCATTCCTGTTCACTTGTTTCACATGGTATAGAGCGGGTCCTTCCTTAGGACCGTTTTTTTTAGGGCCCACTGAAGCGCGCCCCGAGGCGCGCCTTTTTTTAGCGACCCCTCGGGTCGCCATTTCCCTCGCGGCCCCGCTGTCCCTCAGACGCGGCCACGCCACCCCTCCTGATCGCGGCCCCGCCGCCTGCTTGGCGCGGCCCCGCCGCCGGCTCTGACGCGGCCCTGCCGCCCGCTTCGTCGCGGCCCCGCCGCCTGCTTGACGCGGCCCCGCCGCCTCCACTGACGCGGCCCCGCCGCCGGCTCTGACGCAGCCCTGCCGCCCGCTTCGTCGCGGCCCCGCCGCCTGCTTGACGCGGCCCCGCCGCCTCCACTGACGCGGCCCCACCGCCGGCTCCGCCGCTGCACCCCACGGCCCGCCGCTGCACCCTACGGCCCGCCGCCTCACCTGACGGCCCCGCCGCTGCACCTGCCGGCCCGCCGCTGCACCTGCCGGCCCGCCGCTGCACCCAGCGGCCCGCCGCTTCACCTGACGGCCCCGCCGCTGCACCTGCCGGCCCGCCGCTGCACCCTACGGCCCGCCGCTGCACCCTACGTCTCGCCGCCCCACCTGGTCGGCCCGCCGCTGCACCCTACGGCCCCGCCGCTGCACCTGCGGGCCCGCCGCTGCACCGGTCGACCCGCCGCTGCACCTGACGGCCCCGCCCCTGCATCTCCCGGCCGAGCCGCCCCAGCAGCAGAGCCGCCCCAGCAGCCGAACCGCCCGGGAGCCGAGCCGCCCAACGCCGAGCCGCCCGGGACCCGAGCCGCCCTGCCGCCGAGCCGCCCGGGAGCCGAGCCGCCCTGCACCCGAGCCGCCCTGCCGCCGAGCCGCCCGGGAGCCGAGCCGCCCTGCGCCCGAGCCGCCCAGCCGCCGAGCCGCCCGGGAGCCGAGCCGCTGTGCACCCGAGCCGCCCGGTCGCTGAGCCGCCTTTCTGCAGAGCTGCACGACCTGCCCTGCCTGGTGAGCACAGTCCCACTGACACTGCGAGCTCTTTCCCTACTGCTTGCACTGCGTCGCTGTCGTCGCCATGGCTACCCCTAGTGTCCTAGCTTTTGACGCTGAAGGTCGCGCCATTGATTTTGAGGTCTGGTTAGACGACCTGCAGCTGTTCTTACAGTGCGACAGGGCTGACAACCTTTCTCTCTTTGACCTCACCTCTGGCGCCTCTCCTGCTCCTGCTGCTGATGCTGATCCCACTGTCCGCTCTCAGTGGGCCACCCGCGATGCTGCTGCACGTCTTGCTGTGCGTCGCCACCTCCCTACCTCTGAGCGTGCGCACTTTAGTCAGTACAAGAGTGCTCAGACCTTGTACGACGCTGTAGTTGCGCGCTACTCCTCCCCTGCCACTGCTGCACTGAGCCGTCTCATGCTTCCCTACCTCTTTCCTGACCTCTCTGCCTTTCCCACTGTTGCTGACCTCATTACGCACCTCCGCACTAGTGACACTCGCTACCGCGCCGCCCTTCCTGCTGAGTTCTGCGCTAAGAACCCACCCCCCATGTACATCGCTCTCTACTACGTAGTCGCGCGCCTCCCTGACTCCCTTCGCGTCGTCAGGGACCACTTTCTCGCAGTCTGTCCCACCACCCTCACCGTCGACCTCCTCGAGAAGGCCCTCCTCGCAGCGGAGAAGAGCATAGTCGCTGTAGGTGCTTCTCGTGGTGACCCTCGCACCCCCATCTTTGAGGGGTTCTCTCCTTCAGACGGTGGTGGTGGTGGCAGCGGTGGTGGAGGAGGCAGCGGCGGAGGTGGAGGCGGCGGAGGTGGAGGCGGTGGAGGCGGCAGCGGAGGAGGCGGTGGTGGTGGAGGAGGTGGAGCTGGTCGGGGTGGTACCCAACAGCGTAGCGGCGGTGGTGGTGGCCAGCGCTCGCAGCGGCAGCAGCAGCAGCGCTCGCGGGACATCCCTCCGCCTCAGCAGCTTCGTGAGTGGTACGCTGGGCGTCAGAGGGGTGGGGGTACTGGTCCCTGCACCTACGTTCTTCGTTCCAGCGACCGCGCGGGTGAGCCGTGTGGGGGTGCCCACGCCACCCAGCGCTGCTTTGGCCGCCTGACGGACGCTTGGCGTCAGCAGTTCCCTGGGGCTAGTGAGATCCCTCGCTGGGATGAGCTTCTAAGGGCTGGTGTAGCGATCTTTGATCTTGATTTTGATGCTATCCTTGCTGCTATGTATGCTGTGGATTATAGTGAGGAGAATGAGGGTTACCGGTGTTTCCAGCCCGACCCGGGCATTGGTACTGCTGCGCTAGGTGCTTGTGAGGCTGCTGCTCTAGGTGCCAGTGCGTCTGTGCTCTCAGGTACTGGTGAGACTGCGCTCTCAGGTACTGCGTCGTCCTCGTCCTCCCTCACTTTCACACTTGACTCCGGGGCTTCTCGCTCCTTCTTTCGAGACCGCACTACCCTTACGCCGCTCGGCCGGCCGGTTGCGGTCTCCCTTGCTGACCCCTCTGGGGGTCTTGTCCTGTCTCACTTCTCCACTGTCCTCCCGTGTCCGGCTGCCCCTTCGGGCACCCTGTCTGGTCTGTACCTTCCGTCATTCTCTACGAACTTGGTGAGTGGAGCGGACTTGCAGGATGTGGGGGTTCACCAGTTCACTCCTGCGAGTCAGCGGGTGACCCACTGCACGGAGGCACGCACAGGCCGACACCTGGCCACGTTCTCGCGTCGGCCGGGGTCGAGTCTCTACACCCTGACCGTTGAGTCTCCTCCTGTCCCTGCGTCTGGTCAGGTGGCTGCGTCGGGTCAGGTGCTTGCTGCTGCGTCCCGGTCAGGTCCTGAGTCTGCCCCCTGTTCTTGTCGCCTCCTGTCTCACGAGACTCTCCTGTGGCACCACCGTCTTGGCCACCCCTCCTTGCCCCGTCTTCGGAGCATGGCTTCCCGTGTCCTTGTCTCTGGTCTTCCCCAGTCTCTCCCTCCTCTCCCCTCCGGGCCAGGACCTTCCTGTGTCCCCTGTGTCGAGGGTCGCCTCCGGGCTACTCCTCACTCCTCCCACTCCCCCCCGACAGAGGCTCCCCTGCAGACGCTTCACATGGATGTGTGGGGCCCAGCCCCCGTCCGTGGGCAGGGTTACGAGCGCTACTTCCTGTTGGTGGTTGACGACTACTCGCCTTGCGCAGCAAGGGTGCGGTCACTGAGGTGCTGATTGACTGGATCCGCGAGGCTCGTCTCCAGCTCAGGAAGAGCTTCGGCTCGGACTTTCCTGTTCTGCGTCTGCACTCGGACAGAGGCGGAGAGTTCTCTTCTCGCCTTCTGCGGGACTACTGTCGTGCATGGGGGATCCGCCAGACCTTCATGCTTCCGGACTCACCACAGCAAAATGGGATTGCTGAGCGCCGCATTGGCATGGTCATGGATGTCGCTCGTACGTCCATGATGCATGCGGCTGCTGTGAGAATAAGCGAACAGGAATGGATCAACTAGAAGTGAAAAGAGTACAAGTAGTAAACCCTAGAATTGTGTACCCCCTATGGGCTAACCCACTGTAGCCTACACAAGTATAACATATATAATGTTTGACACACCCCCATAGGCAAAGTGGGGGAGAACAAGGGGTCACAAGACCAGTCAAGCAAAGCAAAGCAAGCTCAGGGTGGATCACAAAGTCACCACACAGTCCGAGCACAAGAGCAGGGCCAGAGGCCAGTTCACATGCAGGAGTACAGACATATATATAAAACTAGACAAGCAAGAGCAGGTATATATATATGTCACAGTACAAGTAAAGTCAAGAGGAGAGCAAGTGAGGCAAGACAGACACAAGACCCAGCTGGGTGCAAAAGCGCTGATGGTCACAAGGCGCGAGTGCCTTGGTGAACACATCAGCAGTGTTGGCCTCAGATGCCACGTACGCAAGTCGCAACTGGCCACGCTGCTGCAGCTCACGAGCAAGGAAGTAGCGGAGAGCAATGTGCTTCGTTCTGTGCTCCAAGCGCTGCTCTCGACACAAGGCCAGCATGGCCTTGTTGTCTACGTACAGCACTGGAGGAGAACGAGGCGGCTCTCCAAGGTCAGTCAGCAGGTAGGTGAGCCAGCGAAGCTCCTGTGCAGCCATGGCCCCGGCGTAGATCTCAGCCTCACAACTAGAGCCGAGAACCGAAGACGAGCGAGTAGACCGCCACGAGACAGAGCCGGAACCAAGGCTGAAGGTGTAACCCTGTGACGACCGCTGCGTAGCCTGGTCGTCAGCCCAAGAAGCGTTTGCGTGGCCGGTAAGGACCACTGGACTCCGCCCTCCAAGCACAAGCCCTATGCCCGACGTACTGCACAGGTAGCGCAATACCCTCTTCGCTGCAGCCATGTGCTCTGGTCTGTGTCTCCCAGGAGCAACATAGCGTGCAAGAATGCTCAGAGGGTATGCAAGGTCAGGTCGTGTGCAGGTCATCAGGTACATGAGGCAGCCAACAAGCTCTGCATATGGACCACTCGACTCTACGGACTCATCCGAAGGCAGAGCTGAGAGTGAGTGGCGAGTAGGCAGAGGAGTGGCCTGAGGCGAGGAGTACGTGAAGCCGAAGCGCTGAAGGACCTGCTGCACCATGTGTGACTGAGTCAAGGTAATGGTGCGGCGTGCTCTGTCCCGAGTGATCTGCAAGCCAAGGTAGCTGCGCAGTTCACCCAGGTCTGTGCACGTGTGTCTCTTCAGCAGTTCGGACTTCACGTAGGCGAGTCCAGCAGTGTCCGCTGTGGCAAAGACCAAGTCGTCGACGTACACGAGGATGTAGAACGGCGGCAGTGAAGTGTCAATGCGCAGAAACAGCGACGGGTCAGCAGTAGAAGGAGCAAACCCAAGAGCCGCAAGCGTAGTCCTCAGTGTGTCGTGCCACTCACGCGGTGCCTGGCGGAGACCGTAGACTGGCCGTTGGAGGCTCCACTGGGTGCCAGGAGGGAAAGTCCCAGTGAAGCCAGGTGGACGGCGCAGCCAGATCTCCTCGTGCAGGCTACCCTGCAGGAACGCAGTGCTGAAGTCGAGAGAGTGAAGCTCGTAGTCGCGCTGAGCGGCTATGTGCAGCAGCACCCGAAGAGTGGTCATCTTCGGGGTGGGAGAGAAGGTCTGAAAGTAGTCAACTCCCTGCCGCTGACTGAAGCCACGAGCAACGTACCGCGCCTTGAAGACAGGTGGAGAGCCCGACGGCCGCTTCACCCGGAAGATCCACATGCCACTGACGATGTTCGCCCCAGGAGGGGGAACTGCGTCAACGTAGGTGCCTGTGGACTTCCAGGAAGCCATCTCTGCATCCATAGCTGCCTGCCACTGAGAGGAGTAGGGACCCTCTACGGCCTCCGCGTAAGAACGCGGAGTCGGGATGTCTAGTGCATCCGGGTCTCCCTCAGGGGCAAGCAGTACAGACGCGAGATGAGGTGAAGCAGCCGCTAGACACTGTAACTCCTCCTGTCTGTCCTCTAGGACGTTCGTGCCAAGAGCACACTCACCTCCGACGGACGGAGGACAGACAGACGCAGACTCAACAACAAGACCAGCAGCGTAGTCGAGACGACAGCGACCAGCAATGTCAACGAGCTCAGCGACTAGAGCAGACGCAGCAGTGGACTCAAAAGAGGGGTCAGTGACGACAGTAGCAAGCAGACGCGTGACAGTAGGACTGGCAGCGCGAAGAGAGTCCGACTCAGGGTCGGCAAGCGCAGGAAGAGAGGACTCAGGAGGAGAAGGCAAAGGGGCACGCAGAGGAGCAGTGGACGGACGCAGAGACATCCGGTGCGTGCCAGGGATAGGAGGAGGACGCTGACGCGAACCGCGACCACTAGCGCGAGCAGCACGAACAGGCGACGCGGGACGAGACGCAGGCTCACGACGCTCAGCAAGACCTCCAGTAGGACCAGTGTAAGGAGATGGAGCAGGCAGAGGAGAGGAAGGCTCCAACAGTGACTGCGACTGGACAGGCTGTGGACACTCTACCGAAGGAGAAAGACCAAGAACCTGCTGTAGGAGCGGAACAAAGTACGGCCGAGGCCGCGCGGCAGCTCCAGACTCAACAGGGACAGCACCAGCACCCTCAGCGACAGCACCAGCGCCACCCACACCTCCAGCGGCAGGACCAACAGCAGTAGGCTCAGCACGAACGCCCTCAGCACCTCCCGCTCCAGGAGGACCCGCAGGTCCAGCAGCTCCGGGACCGGCAGCACCCGCACCCTCGACGGTCGAAGAAGCTCCAGCTCCAGCTCCAGCAGCACCTCCAGACTCAGCAGCACGCCTCCAGCGGCGAGCGTACCACTCGCGCAGCTCCTGTGGAGAGAGGGGCTCCCGGCGAGACGCAGCAGCAGGAGAAACCCCAGGCTCAGCAGCTCCAGACGCAGCACCCCCAGGCTCAGCAGCTCCCGACCCAGCACCCCCAGACCCATCACCTCCAGGCACAGCACCCCCCGGCTCAGCACCCCCATGCTCCGCACCCTCCGCAGTAGCACCCGCAGGCCCAGTACCCCCAGAGTCAGCACCCCCAGGCTCAGCACCCGCAGCAGCACCAGAGTCACCTGTAACCTCGACCGGGTCAACGGCGTCTATCTGGGACACATCTGAGGGGGCAGGAACCTGAGGGGGGAGGGGGTCTACCGGGGGGGGAACCGGTACAAGGAAGTCCGGGGGAGGGGGGAGGGAAGGAGTGCGGTAGGGGGAGAGACGGTAGAAGGGGACTGACTCGTCGAACGTGACGTCCTGGGAGGACAGAACACGACGAGAGGAGGGGTGGTAAAACTGCCACCCTGGGGCGTCAGTGGGGAAGCCAAGGAAGACACAGGGAGCAGCACGAGGGGACAGCTTGTCCGCAGACAAGTCGCGGACAAACGCCCGAGATCCCCAGACACGGAACACAGACGCATCGCCAACCTTCCCTGTCCACAGCAAGGCTGGGGACATCGCAGGCCGAGAGACCCGGGGGTGAAGGTTGAGCTGATGCGCCGCGTACCTCACCGCAAACAGCCACAGAAAATGGGGGGCAGCCGCATGCATCATGGACGTACGAGCGACATCCATGACCATGCCAATGCGGCGCTCAGCAATCCCATTTTGCTATGGTGAGTCTGGAAGCGTGAAGGACTGGCGGATGCCTCGCGCACGACAGTAGGCACGCAGAAGGCCAGAGGAGAACTCTCCGCCTCTGTCCGAGTGCAGACGCAGAACAGGAAAGTCCGAGCCGAAGCTCTGCCTGAGCTGGAGACGAGCCTCGCGGATCCAGTCGATCAGCACCGCAGTGACCTCACCCTTGCTGCGCAAGGGGAGGACTGTGGTGTAACGCGAGTAGTCGTCAACCACCAACAGGAAGTAGCGCTCGTAACCCTGCCCACGGACGGGGGCTGGGCCCCACACATCCATGTGAAGCGTCTGCAGGGGAGCCTCTGTCGGGGGGAAGTGGGAGGAGTGAGGAGTAGCCCGGAGGCGACCCTCGACACAGGGGACACAGGAAGGTCCTGGCCCGGAGGGGAGAGGAGGGAGAGACTGGGGAAGACCAGAGACAAGGACATGGGAAGCCATGCTCCGAAGATGGGGCAAGGAGGGGTGGCCAAGACGGTGGTGCCACAGGAGAGTCTCGTGAGACAGGAGGCGACAAGTACAGGGGGCAGACTCAGGACCAGACCTGGACGCAGCAGCAAACACCTGACCCGACGCTGCTACCTGACCGGACGCAGGGACAGGAGGAGACTCAGTGGTCAGGGTGTAGAGGCTCGACCCCGGCCGACGCGAGAACGTGGCCAGGTGCCGGCGTGTGCGTGCGTCTGTGCAGTGGGTCACCCGCTGACTCGCAGGAGTGAACTGGTGAACCCCCGCATCCTGTAGGTCTGCACCACTCACCAAGTTCGTCGAGAACGAGGGGAGGTACAGGCCAGACAGGGTGCCCGAGGGGGCAGCAGGACACGGGAGGACAGTGGAGAAGTGAGCGAGGACAGGACCCCCAGAGGGGTCAGCCAGGGAGACTACAACCGGCCGACCAAGCGGCGTGAGTGTGGTGCGGTCCCGAAAGAAGGAGCGAGAAGCCCCAGAGTCAAGTGTAAAGGTGAGGGAGGCCGAAGCCAACGCGGTACCTGAGAGCGCAGCCTCACCCGCACCTGAGGAAGCAGACTCACTAGCACCTAGAGCAGCAGCCGCACCTGTACCTGGAGCAGGAGACTCACTAGCACCCAGAGCAGCAGCCTCACCAGTAGCTAGAGCAGCAGGTCCTATACCTGGGTCAGGCGGGACGCACAGGTGACCGGCACGGTCAGCACTAGTTGGCAATGCATACATGGCAGTGAGAATAGCATCATAGTCAAGAGCATATATATCTACCCTCTGCCTAAGCAACTCCACCCAGTCGGGAAGCTCAGCCTCGTCGCCAAACACGGTACGCCAGGCGTCGCTCAGACGGGCGAAGCAGCGGGACGGTGTATGACTACGTGTCCCACAAGGCTGACCAGTCCGAGTACCAGTGCGAATCACGTAAGAGCAGCGAACAGCACTGAGAGACCCTCCACTCTGAGCGTACCACTCACGAAGCTGGCGAGGCGTGAGAGACACGCGAGAGGGTCGCGGGAGCTGCATCTGGCCGCCACCGCGAGTAGAAGCAGCAGGAGTGGTAGTAGGAGTAGTGTCGCCACCCCTACAGCCCCAACCAGCGTACCACTCACGCAGCTGCTGGGGCGTGAGGGACTCACGCCGGCGTCGCTGGGGCTGCATTTGGCTCCGCAAGTAGAAGCAGGAGCAGGACTAGCAGCAGGGAGGCAGGCAGCCAGGCAAGCCAAAAGGCAGGCAGGCAGGCAAGCAGGCGACGCGCAGCGTGCTAGCAGGGCAAGAGCTCACCAGTGGTGGGAAGAGTAGGCTCGGCGACTCAGCGGCTCGGCAGCTCGGCGGCTCGGCGGCTCGGGCGACTCAGGCGGCTCGGCGGCAAGGCGGCTCAGCAGCAACTGCAGCTCAGCAGCTCGGTGACTCGGCGGCTCGGCGGCAGGGCGGCTCGGCAGCAACTGCAGCTCAGCAGCTCAGCGACCCGGCGGCTCGGCGGCAGGGCGGCTCGGCTGTGGGGCGGCTCGGCTGCTGCAGGTGAGCGGCTCGGCTGCTGCAGTGGGAGAGGAAGGAGGAGGAGAAGCAGGGGAGGCCACACACCTGCCACCCCTCTGCAGGCCTCCTCAGGTCGCCTCGACAGGCGACGGGAAAAGGGGGGGTGGGTGGTGGGGGCCGGTAGGTGCAGCGGCGGGGCCAGCAGGTGCAGTTGCGGGGCCGGTAGAAGGGGACGGCAGGAGCCGTCAGGAGGGGACGGCGGGGCCGTCAGGAAGGGACGGCGGGGCCGTCAGGAGGTGACCGGGCCGCGACGGGGGCAGGTGGCGGGGCCGCGTAAGGGCCTGGGCGGGGCCGCGACAGAGCCGTCGGCGGGGCCGCGTGAAAGCCGGGGCGGGGCCGCGTAGAAGCCGGGGCGGGGCCGCGCGAGAGCAGGCGGCGGGGCCGCGAAGGAGCCGGGGCGGGGCCGCGTGAGAGCAGGCGGCGGAGCCGCGTAAGGGCCTGGGCGGGGCCGCGACAAAGCCGTCGGCGGGGCCGCGTGAAAGGCGGGGCGGGGCCGCGTAGAAGCCGGGGCGGGGCCGCGCGAGAGCAGGCGGCGGGGCCGCGAAGGAGCCGGGGCGGGGCCGCGTGAGAGCAGGCGGCGGGGCCGCGACAGAGAGGGCGGCGGGGCCGCGTCAGTGAAGGCGGCGGGGCCGCAGGGGAAATGGCGACCCGAGGGGTCGCTAAAAAAAAGATCGCGCCTCGGGGGGCGCTTCGGTGGGCCCAAAAAAAAACGGTCCGTAGAAGGACCCGCTCTATACCATGTGAGAATAAGCGAACAGGAATGGATCAACTAGAAGTGAAAAGAGTACAAGTAGTAAACCCTAGAATTGTGTACCCCCTATGGGCTAACCCACTGTAGCCTACACAAGTATAACATATATAATGTTTGACAGCTGCCCCCCATTTTCTGTGGCCGTTTGCGGTGAGGTACGCGGCGCATCAGCTCAACCTTCACCCCCGGGTCTCTTGGCCTGCGATGTCCCCAGCCTTGCTGTGGACGGGGAAGGTTGGCGATGCGTCTGTGTTCCGTGTCTGGGGATCTCGGGCGTTTGTCCGCGACTTGTCTGCGGACAAGCTGTCCCCTCGTGCTGCTCCCTGTGTCTTCCTTGGCTTCCCCACTGACGCCCCAGGGTGGCAGTTTTACCACCCCTCCTCTCGTCGTGTTCTGTCCTCCCAGGACGTCACGTTCGACGAGTCTGTCCCCTTCTACCGTCTCTTCCCCTACCGCACTCCTTCCCTCCCCCCTCCCCCGGACTTCCTTGTGCCGGTTCCCCCCCCGGTAGACCCCCTCCCCCCTCAGGTTCCTGCCCCCTCAGGTGAGTCCCAGGTAGACGCCGTTGACCCGGTCGAGGTTACTGGTGACTCTGGTGCTGCTGCGGGTGCTGAGCCTGGGGGTGCTGACTCTGGGGGTGCTGTGCGCGGGGGTGCTGAGCCTGGGGGTGCTACTGCTGGGGGTGCTGGGCCTGAGAGTGCTACTGCGGAGGGTGCGGAGCCTGGGGGTGCTGAGCCGGGGGGTGCTGTGCCTGGAGGTGCTGGGTCTGGGGGTGCTGGGTCGGGAGCTGCTGAGCCTGGGGGTGCTGTGCTGGGAGCTGCTGAGCCTGGGGGTGCTCCGTCTGGAGCTGCTGAGCCTGGGGTTTCTCCTGCTGCTGCGTCTCGCCGGGAGCCCCTCTCTCCACAGGAGCTGCGCGAGTGGTTCGCTCGCCACTGGAGCCGTGCTGCTGCGTCTGGAGGTGCTGCTGGAGCTGAAGCTGGAGCTTCTTCGACCGTCGAGGGTGCGGGTGCTGCCGGTCCCGGAGCTGCTGGACCTGCGGGTCCTCCTGGAGCTGGAGCTGCTGAGGGCGTTGGTGCTGAGCCTACTGCTGTTGGTCCTGCCGCTGGAGGTGTGGGTGGCGCTGGTGCTGTCGCTGAGGGTGCTGGTGCTGTCCCTGCTGAGTCTGGAGCTGCCGCGCGGCCTCGGCCGTACTTCGTTCCGCTCCTGCAGCAGGTTCTTGGTCTTTCTCCTCCAGTAGAGGGTCCACCGCCTGTCCAGTCGCAGTCCCTGCTGGAGCCTTCCTCTCCACTGCCTGCTCCCTCTCCTTACACTGGTCCTACTGGAGGTCGTGCTGAGCGTTGTGAGTCTGCGTCTCGTCCCGCGTCGCCTGTTTGTGCTGCTCGCGCTTGTGGTCACAGTTCGCATCAGCGTCCTCCTCCTGTCCCTGGCACGCACCGGATGTCTTTGCGTCCGTCCACTGCTCCTCTGCGTGCCCCTTTGCCTTCTCCTCCTGAGTCCTCTCTTCCTGCGCTTGCCGACCCTGAGTCGGACTCTCTTCGTGCTGCCAGTCCTACTGTCACGCGTCTCCTTGCTACTGTCATCACTGACCCCTCGTTTGAGTCCACTGCTGCGTCTGCCCTTGTCGCTGAGCTCGTCGACTTTGCTGCTCGCTGTCGTCTCGACTACGCTGCTAGTCTTGTTGCTGAGTCTGCGTCTATCTGTCCTCCGTCCGTCGGGGGTGAGTGTGCTCTTGGCACGGATGTCCTAGAGGACAGGCAGGAGGAGTTACAGTGTCTAGCGGCTGCTTCACCTCATCTCGCGTCTGTACTGCTTGCCCGTGAGGGAGACCCGGATGCACTAGACATCCCGACTCCGCGTTCTTACGCGGAGGCCGTAGAGGGTCCCTACTCCTCTCAGTGGCAGGCAGCTATGGATGCAGAGATGGCTTTGTGGAAGTCCACAGGCACCTACGTTGACGCGGTTCCCCCTCGTGGGGCGAACATCGTTAGTGGCATGTGGATCTTCAGGGTGAAGCGGCCGCCGGGCTCTCCACCTGTCTTCAAGGCACGGTACGTTGCTCGTGGCTTCAGTCAGCGGCAGGGAGTTGACTACTTTCAGACCTTCTCTCCCACCCCGAAGATGACTACTCTTTGGGTGCTGCTGCACATAGCCGCTCAGCGCGACTACGAGCTTCACTCTCTCGACTTCAGCACTGCGTTCTTGCAGGGTAGCCTGCACGAGGAGATCTGGCTTCGCCGTCCACCTGGCCTCACTGGGACTTTCCCTCCTGGCACCCAGTGGAGCCTCCGACGGCCAGTCTACTGTCTCCGCCAGGCACCGCGTGAGTGGCACGACACACTGAGGACTACGCTTGCGGCTCTTGGGTTTGCTCCTTCTACTGCTGACCCGTCGCTGTTTCTTCGCACCGACACTTCCCTGCCGCCGTTCTACATCCTCGTGTACGTCGACGACTTGGTCTTTGCCACAGCGGACACTGCTGGACTCGCCTACGTGAAGTCCGGGCTGCTGAAGAGACACACGTGCACAGACCTGGGTGAACTGCGCAGCTACCTTGGCTTGCAGATCACTCGGGACAGAGCACGCCGCACCATTACCTTGACTCAGTCACACATGGTGCAGCAGGTCCTTCAGCGCTTCGGCTTCACGTACTCCTTGCCTCAGGCCACTCCTCTGCCTACTCGCCACTCACTCTCAGCTCTGCCTTCGGATGAGTCCGTAGAGTCGAGTGGTCCGTATGCAGAGCTTGTTGGCTGCCTCATGTACCTGATGACCTGCACACGACCTGACCTTGCATACCCTCTGAGCATTCTTGCACGCTATGTTGCTCCTCGGAGACACAGACCAGAGCACATGGCTGCAGCGAAGAGGGTATTGCGCTACCTGTGCAGTACGTCGGGCATGGGGCTAGTGCTTGGAGGGCGGAGTCCAGTGGTCCTTACCGGCCACGCGGACGCTTCTTGGGCTGACGACCAGGCTACGCAGCAGTTGTCACAGGGTTACACCTTCAGCCTTGGTTCCGGCTCTGTCTCGTAGCGGTCTACTCGCTCGTCTTCGGTTCTCGGCTCCAGTTGTGAGGCTGAGATCTACGCCGGGGCCATGGCTGCACAGGAGCTTCGCTGGCTCACCTACCTGCTGACTGACCTTGGAGAGCCGCCTCGTTCTCCTCCAGTGCTGTACGTAGACAACAAGGCCATGCTGGCCTTGTGTCGAGAGCAGCGCTTGGAGCACAGAACGAAGCACATTGCTCTCCGCTACTTCCTTGCTCGTGAGCTGCAGCAGCGTGGTCAGTTGCGACTTGCGTACGTGGCCTCTGAGGCCAACACTGCTGATGTGTAAACCAAGGCACTCGCGCCTTGTGACCATCAGCGCTTTTGCACCCAGCTGGGTCTTGTACCTGTTTTGCCTCACTTGCTCTCCTCTTGACTTCACTTGTACTGTGACATATATATATACCTGCTCTTGCTTGTCTAGTTTTATATATATGTCTGTACTCCTGCATGTGAACTGGCCTCTGGCCCTGCTCTTGTGCTCGGACTGTGTGGTGACTTTGTGATCCACCCTGAGCTTGCATGCTTTGCTTTGCTTGACTGGTCTTGTGACCCCTTGTTCTCCCCCACTTAGCCTATGGGGGTGTGTCAGAGTATTATAGCTGATGCATGTTTGTAGGCTATAGTGGGGTAGCACATATGGGGTACAGCTTTCTAGGGTTGTATTTGTACCCAACTCTGACTTAGTCTTTTTCATTCCTGTTCACTTGTTTCACAGCGTGTGCAAAAAAAAATGAACAAGGGCCTAGCGTATGCAAAAAAAAAAAAGAACAAGGGCCTAGCGTGTGCAAAATTGCAAGAACAAGGGCCTAGCATGTGCAAAA